CCCTTGCTCACCTCCTCCGCCTCCTGCTCCTCCTCCTTCTCCTCCTCCTCCTCAACCTTCTCCTCCTCCTCCTCCTCCTCCTCCTCCTCCTCCTCCTACTCATCATCATCAGCAACATCAGCACCATCAGCATCATCAGCATCAGCATCACCATCACCATCACCATCAGCATCATCATCATCATCATCATCATCAGCAGCATCAGCATCATCATCAGCAGCAGCATCAGCATCATCATCATCATCATCAGCATCATCATCATCATCATCATCATCCTCCTCCTCATCATCATCAGCAGCATCATCATAATCACCATCGTATTCGTCGTCATCATCATCAGCAGCATCATCATAGTCATAACCATCATCATACTCATCCGCAGCAGCATGATCATCATCAACGTCATCATCATCATCATCATCATCATCATCATCATCATCAGAATCATCATCATCATCGTCACCATCATCATCATCAGCAGCATCATCATAATCATCAGCATCCTCATCATCCTCATCATCCTCATCATCCATATCATCGACAATCAGCAGCATGATCATCATCATCATCATAATTATCATCAGCAGCAGCATCATCGTCATCATCATCGGCAGCAGCATCATCATCGTCGTCATCGTGATCGTCATCGTCGTCGTCATCGTCATCATCACCATCATCATCATCATAATCATCATCATCAGCATCATCAGCATGAGCATCATCATCATACTCAGCATCACCGTCATCATCATCATCATCATCATCATCATCATCATCATCATCAGCGTCGTCGTCATCATCATCGCCATCATCATCATCAGCAGCAGCATCATCATCGTTGTCAACATCCTCATCATCATCATCAGCCCCATCGTCAGCATCAGCATCACCATCGTCATCAGCATCGTCATAGTCATTATCATCAGCATCATCAGCATCAGCATAACCATCATCATACTCAGCATCAACAATACTAGGACATCATCATCACCATCATCAGTATCATCATCATAGACGTCAGCATCATCAGCAGTAGCAGCAGCGACAGCAGCAGCATCATCATCAGCAACATAAGCATCATCATCATCATCAGCATCATCATCATCATCATCATCATCATTATCATCATCATCATCATCATCATCATCATCATCATCATCATCATCATCATCATCATACTCATCATCAGCAGCAGCAGCATCGTCATCATCAGCATCAACAACAGCATCATAACCCTCACCCTCATCCGCAGCAGCATGATCATCATCATCATCATCATCATCATCATCAGCATCATCACCCTCATCATCAGCATCATCATCATCGACATCAGCATCCTCATCATCATGAACAGCAGCATCATTGTCATCGTCATCGTCGTCACCATCATCATCACCATTATCATAACCAGTCCCATCATCATCAGCATCATCATCATCATCATCATCATCATCATCATCATCATCAGCGTCATCCTCATCGTCATCATCCTCTTCGACTTCATCCTCATCATCATCATCATCATAATCATCATCATCATCATCAGCATCATCATCAGCAGCAGCATCAGCACCTGCATCGGCATCATCATCACCAGCATCAGCATCGAATTGACCAGCCTCATCAGATTCAGCAGCATCATAATCCCAATCATCGCAATATCATCGTCATCATCATCATCATCAGCATCCTCACCGTCGTGATCATCATCATCAGCATCACCATCTCGATCCTCATTATATTCATGGTCATGTGCATCATCATCGTAATCATCATCAGCAGCCCCATCGTCAGCATCAGCATCACCATCGTCATCAGCATCGTCATAGTCATCATCATCAGCATCATCAGCATCAGCATAACCATCATCATACTCAGCATCAACAATACCAGGACATCATCATCACCATCATCAGTATCAGCATCATAGACGTCAGCATCATCAGCAGTAGCAGCAGCGACAGCAGCAGCATCATCATCAGCAACATAAGCATCATCATCATCATCATCATCATCATCATCATCATCATACTCATCATCAGCAGCAGCAGCATCGTCATCATCAGCATCAACAACAGCATCATAACCCTCACCCTCATCCGCAGCAGCATGATCATCATCATCATCATCATCAGCATCATCATCCTCATCATCAGCATCATCATCATCGACATCAGCATCCTCATCATCATGAACAGCAGCATCATTGTCATCGTCATCGTCGTCACCATCATCATCACCATTATCATCACCAGTCCCATCATCATCAGCATCATCATCATCAGCATCATCAGCATCAGCATCATCAGCGTCATCATCATCGTCATCATCCTCTTCGACTTCTTCATCATCATCATCATCATCATCATCATCATCATCATCATCATCATCATCATCATCATAATCATCATCATCATCAGCATCATCATCAGCAGCAGCATCAGCACCTGCATCGGCATCATCATCACCAGCATCAGCATCGAATTGACCAGCCTCATCA